AAGAAACAAAAATTAAACCTCTCATTAAGGAACCAGTAAAAAAACGTGTTTAGACTGTGAAGGAAATCCCCATACAAATCGTTATATATAAGACAATAACCTTTCCACGAAAATATGAGAGTTTGAAAGAACGCACTAATGGATCTGTTAGCAAATTTCTGTGATGATGCGTGATCGTATTCTATAATGGTAATGTATATATCACTGTTTAATTTTTTTTTATCAAAAACAGGGAAATTTCAACACGGAGAAAAAGGTCACTTTTTTAAGTGTTAGCTAAATCCCATTACAGACTTTTAGATCAGCTTTTAAATTGCTCGTACTCATTAATCATTCTTGTGGATTTCGCGTGATAGAGTAGGGTTTATATTCTGTATACTTCACGTGATAGAGTTGGGGTACCATGATGTTTTCTTTTGGATTTACTTGTGTGTATTCAAGTCTTATGGGTTTAAAATAATAGAGCAGAAGATACCATGATGTTACGCGCACTCCGTTCTTGTGGATTTTTCATGGTAAAGTAGGAATCACTTTGATCTTAAATTAAATTTATTTTTTGTGGAACAAAAGAATATATTTGTGCTATTATGTGCAACAAACTCTTATGGAAGTTTTACCGATAGAGCAGAAATTCCATTCTTGTACCTACGTTTCTAAGTACAAGAAAAGATGTATGCTCCATTCTTCTGGCAGAAAGGAGGACATGGTAACATAATTTATACTCAATTCTTGTGGATTTTTTTGATAGAAGGTAAGACTTCATGTGGGTTTTGAATGATGTTCCATAAGGCACGTAGGTTTAAGGAGCTAGAGTTGAATATTGATTTTACTACCGGTGTATAAGACGATCCCATGTATAAGATGACCCAGGATTTTTTGAGCAAATTAAATGTATTTCTTTGAGGTTCAGTGTATATTGTCAATCAAGTCCAGGATGTTACTTTTGTAAAGAAATTATTAGATGTTATTTTTAAACTGTGCTAACCTGCGCTCTGGTGTAATCAGTACAACCACATTGTGTTTTTTTTATGCTTTTCAAACGCAAGAGACAGCTCAATGCGGCATAATTTGAGTCACAAATATGTAAGAAACAACTTTATAAAGTTTTCGTCACATTGAACTCTTTTTTTTTTATATTACAAAAAATACTAAACCTTAAGACATAGTGAACTACTCTAAAAGCATGTTTACAAAATTAGTGTACATTACAGAAACTAACTTTTTTGATATAATATTAGCAATACTTTAGTATGACGAATGAGATCAATACATTTCAAATAAAAATGTCTTGATTAATTGTAACTAGCATGTGAGATAAATAACTTCTAGTTATGAAGAATCGAAACAAATGATACAATTATAAATATATTATTGTAACGCAGTAGGTGGCACGATGTAAACACAATTACTCAAAAAAGCAAACAAAAGTAAAAGGAACAACTTTGTTTTGGTTAAATATGCTATTAACCGGAGAGTTCTTACTGGGACTTTTATCCTTGAACCTGTGTATAAAACAAGGGATAAAATCTAGCATTGTTTTAAGAGTAAAAAGTATCGTCTTATACACCGACAAATACAGTACGTGCAATTTATTCTAGGCCTGGCATGGTCTGGTTGTTAGGGTGCTAGATTCGCAATCTACAAGTCGTGGGTTCGAATTCCCATCGACGAAAATGCATGCCCTTTAGCCGTGGGAGCGTTATAATGTGACGGTCAATCCCACTATTTGTTGGTGGAAGAGTAGCCCAAGAGTTGGCGGTGGGTAGTGTTGACTAGCTGCCTCCCCTCTAGTCTTTCACTGCTAAATTAAGGACGGCTGGCTACCTGAAGAGGAGATGTACGCCACCAGGTAAATCTGCCCGAGAATTATCGATGATGTAACAACATTTGAGGTGCTCCAACGGTCGTTAACGGCCTCAAGACTTAAAAACAAACAAACATTCAATGGGATTTTTAGCTAAAGAGTAGAACATAATTAACACAAAACTATGTATTTTCTGTTCTTTTAGCCGTTTAGGAAAACATAAGATGACTTTACTATATATAATATGTATATTTTACTTGGTTAACAGAAGAGCAAACTTGATATTATGCAAACCCAAATATTGTAGATTTATTGTATAGAAGAAACGATGGATAAGGGATGCGATATATCTGCGATAATCCTCTACCTTAAAGAAAGGTTGCATATTGCAACGCTTCTTCCATAGGCTCATACTTGTTTGACCGTGTGTCGGTGTGACACCCCCCTCCTCTGGGTCCACACCCATGCCAAGAGGTATACTATGAGTTAGGGATATTTAGACTTTGTAAACCCAAATATTGCAGATTTCATGTATAGAAGAAACAATGGATAATGGATACCATATATATCTGAGATAATCTTCTAACTTAAAGAAAGACGCTTGTTCCATAGGCTCATAATTGTTTTGTCATGTGTCTGTGGACTGGGGACACACATTCCAAGCGTTGTACTATGAGTAAGGTATATATCAGACTTGAATGTATTTAATTAGAATGATAATTGACGGAGGTAATCTAAGGATTGCGGGATACTGCACTAGGACACTGGTCTGATTTAACAGTTTGTTATTTCATTACTCGTGATTTGTCTTCATCTGGTATAGATGTGCTTCTTGTCTGCTTTCTTCCAACAGCCAGTGCGGGTTCAACTGAAAACCAGAAGCCAGCTACTCAATTAGAGACTTGTGACTAGACTTTACTATTGTAAATACAAATTTTATGATTTGTGCACTTGTGTCCATTTTGCTGTCCACATCCATTCCATTCTCTACATGTCATTTTAGGAATCTGTATTTCGGGGAAACTTAAACTTTTCATCCGGACATTAGTTTTATCCGCATACCACAACTTTAGGTAAAATTAATTATTTTGAGTAATATTATACTTAACTTTGTTTAAGGGAAACTGAAGTTTATTGCCAGATATCAACATTTTATTTTATTTACTTTATTTTGAGGGTTGTTTTTCCGCTGATAAAGATAACAGCATGATGTTATTTACAATATACTCTTGTAGATTTCTTTTGGTAAAAGAGCGGACACGTTATATACAAACAATTTGTTTCGACAGAAGAAGGAATACCGTGATTTTATGTATACTCCATTCTTAGGATTTTTGGAAGATAGATTCCAACATGAAACTGTGTATATTCTCTTCTTATTAAGGTATTCTACCTTAGTAGAATGCAATGTTTAAGAATCTGTATTTGATTTCGAGATTTTCGTTGTGATGCAGTGCAGAATCTTAGTGAATTTCCAGTTCACCTTCCCTCGAAACAATAATAACAACAAAAACGTACCAAATCAAATATATATTTCTTTAATGATATCTCAAATAAAAACAATAAAATATTTTACTTGACACCTTATTGTTATAAGTGTAGTTTTTAAAACACTATTTTTTTTCTGTAGTAATAAAATAGATAACACTAGAATATTTTGCATGTCAGATAACTGAGACAAATTTGTAATATTAAGGACTTCTGTGTGAGAATGGGATATCTACGAGTCTCTTAAGACGTGTTTTTATAAGTGTAACCGTTTCTTTTGTTAAGAGAGTATGCTGCATAAATTACAGCTTATTAGTGCAGGATTATAAGATGTACGTAATTTATTTTGAATCCTCACTTGCAAATGTTTTTTGACATCTGCTTAAGACTTGTGTTTGGATTATACGATTATCTAACAATATTTCATGCAAACTTGTCACAAAGAACTTCAACGAAATTCTTCTCTCCAAATTATGCGAAAACGTTTGCTTCATTCAGTTAGTGACTAAACGTATATGTCAGCCAGAAATCTTCAAGGAATTTGTTTCAGTGAAGTAGAGCAACAAAATATATCACAAACAATTAAAAGAAAAAATAATGTTTCAATCATACAATGGCACAAAGCACAGAATTTACCTTAACTCTTTCACTGCCATGTTTATAGACAAATAACTCTACCAGTGCCAGGCATATTTGTAGATACACAATAAAAAGAAAAGAGGCACATGTTTTACTATTTCATTACTTGTCTGAAACTGGTAAGCTTTGGGAATTTTAAAAGAGAATATCATGTGTTCATAGTGATACAAAATTCCAAACTCACATGTCAGTGTGATAGATGAAGACAAATATATGCCCATGACAGTAGAAAAATTAACAAAGGGATGAACAAAATATGCCTAAATGAAACGGTGACAAAGAGTATGATTCAACAACATATATATCGATCTATTGGAGTCACATTGCATGTCAAAGCGATGTCAGAAGTTTATCGCTACCAGCTATTGGCACAAAACAAAGTATGTTTCAAACAAGTGGGAAAACTGAATATCTCAACAAAGTTGCAATAGAGAATATGTTTCAAACAAAGGAAAATATTTATCTCAGTAACGTTGCAGTAGCGAGTACGTTTCAAACAAATGGGCAAACTGTATATCTTAAAACAACTGCAGTAAACAAAAGGAAAAAGTATATTTCAATGAAGTTGTAATAGATGGTATGTTTCAAACAGTACAGCTACAGTCATAATCGAATGACAGCACAGAATGTCTTAACAAAGTGATGGCATAAAGTGTATTAAATGATAACAAAATTTGTCTCAACAAAGAGTCGAAAGAAAATACCGGTGCCACAAACTATGAATCGAGCAAGTTACGTCAAAAGGTGTTTTTAACTAAAGGGAGCTAAAAAGCAAGTCTTAAGCAAGTGTTAACAAAACTATGCGATACGAAAATGTTTGCTTAAGAACATTCAGGTATTCAATAACCATTGTGGATATAAATGATACTTTAACATGTCATTAGTTCGAGGCATGTTTCGTCAAAAAACAGGCCAAAAATAACTAAAAAAACAGTTTGCTTACATCTGTTGTAGATTATTAAGAATTAACTTATTTGACAAAAAATGTGAGAATGGATAAACTTTAGGATGCTTAATTTTCAAATACATAGTATTTATCGACCATTAAACCAGAAGCGAATTTGAAAAATATTTGGTGAGATTACATTCTATCGGAGACTTTATATAAATATATAAATCATAGCTAGTTGGTCTAGTTGTCCGTTAAAGATCTTCCATTTTTTATGCTTATGATAGAATATATATCTGTAGAAAGTTTGTATTCATTTTGACGGAATGAAGTTTTGGAGTAGATAGTTGAGCACCTATAATGATATTGTTTGTATGTATTCAAACAATTTATTCACGAATTGTAGTTTTAGTTCGTTTTTAAAGAACAAACAAATATATGACAATACATTTGATTTGTAGACTACAGTTCAGTAAAGATCCATCATTCTACAGCAAAATAGGCCAGTACAAGATATATCTTCATCACCAGTTCTACTATTTTGGCTCTGTTGAGCAGACCGTTCCCTGATTGGATGGGGCTGACAACTTACTGGTGAGGGACTTTGTGACCGTTCACTATCATTAACCGCTGCGGCACGTGCTGGTGCAGAACGACTTCTGTGATATGACCCTGCATGAAAGGTGTTACAATTATCTAAGGTGCATTTTTAATGTTTTTTAAAACTTTTCAAGTGTATACTATTATTTTAAAAAATCATTTTCATCAAAGACATGATGAATGGCCGTCATATGACGGGAAATAATGATTAATTTTTCTTCTCAAAATTATATCTAAATAAATATTTTATGAAAAATTTTCTAAAAGTTAATTATAATCTCGTGACAATATACGTATAGATAATGACTATCCTATTTCTAGTATTTCATAAAAATAACATTTTTTATGTCATCTCCTATAAATATTGCTTGATTAGCATTTTGACTTCTGCATAATTTGATATTATGTTGAAATGTTCTTGATAAATTCTTATAGATTGAAACATGCGAAAGAACTGATTCTCAAATACATATTCCTAATTGGTCAACTGTATGACCCTGCAAGTTATTAATTGTGATAAAAAAGGCAGTGAATTTTATTCTGAATTTTGGGGTCTTCTCTTTGGATTATCTTCCCGGTTTGAGCTTTGTTATCCTGCTGAGCTGAAGAAGCGCGCTTTAATTTGGGCATTTTCAAAATTGAAATGTGCTGCGGGTGAAACATAGGGTTATTATAGAATTGTAGCCGAGGGTTCCGATTGGACAAAATTTGGTGATGTTGCGTCAATGTATCTCCTTGACAACCACGTAATAGGGAATTTCAACCAATGATTATGATTTTTGTGTGCCAGCAATACCAAGCGTTGGGTGCGCTCAAACCCCATTCAATGTTATTACTAATCACGATATATACTAATCTACCCTCAAATCTAATTATATGCCCAAAGTAGCCGATCATCCGTTTTATATATGCATATATAGATGGAAGAACTTTAAAAAGACAAACTTGCTTGTCGTGTCAGAAAGTGCCGTCGTTTCGTGCAAGTTCTTGTTGATCGGTACCGCAACGGCCGAGATATCGACGTGACAAACAGACGGCTCTTCGTCTTTATATAGTAGACTCACTAGCAATGAGCCATAAACTTTCAGTACTCAAACAAGAATAGGTAAAGCTCTTTCCTTGTTTTAACTTTATTAATGCTAGATTTAAAAGACAAAATACTGTAGATATTGAACTTTTATCACATAAAGCATAGTGTTGTCGACAAAAGAAGGCTGGGCTTTCAGTATAACCTAACAGTCTGCGCCATCATTTATTACGATAATGATATTGTGTTTCTTTATAATGTAAATATTCAGAATCTTTAACTTAAGATTAAAGGAGCCCCCCAGTGGCACCGCGGTATGTCTGCGGACTTACATCGCTAGAAACCGGGTTTCGATACTCGTGGTGGGCAGAGCACAGATAGCCAAATGTGTAGCTTTGTGCTTAACTTCAAACAAACAAACAAGATTAAAGGAAATTTAAAATGAAGCCCTAAAAATAAATGTAACGCAACAAGTGTTTCATCATATACAGAATATAATCAGTCGTTCTGTCCTTCCATTGTCGTTGGCCACTCGGTGGCTCAGCGACAAGATTGAGGACTTATAACGCCAAAATTATGGACCGGATCCCTGCGGTGTGCACGACACATTTAGCCCATTGTGTAGATTAGCGCTTGAAGACAAAGAGACACGATAGTTGTAAAATATTAAAAATGTAATTGGGTATGTATTACACTTTCTGTTTATAGTATCACGAATAGTTACAACATTACTTGTTTTAATATGATATAGATACGAATACCGTTAGCTCAAAAAATTATCACATTGTTTAAATACATTAAACATTAAAAGTACTAATAATTACTACACTGTTTGTTGTAATATAGAACAGTCTAATACCGACGTCTCGAATAATTTGAGCACTGTTAGTTTAATGCAGTAATTGATGTAGAGTTACAACACTGACAGTTATTGTTGTTTTGTTACATGTATATTACAGTTTCCTTCAGTTTCAAGATCAAGCCTTTAATCGTAAAATATAAACAAATTTAAATGATATTATTTCTAATTTGAAAACTAAACATAAACTAAACTCTACTGTACAGCCTTACCAAAAATATTCTTCATATGATTTACTTTTATACTGCCATGATGAACTCCTGGCTCTTCACTCTCAAATTCTGGACTACAAGATGTACCTTCGCTTTCACGAACCATACTCTCGTAACCACTGCTTGTTCCTGAATAGTGATGCTCTTTACTGATGAGATTTGTTTCTGTGTTTTCACTGACTTGACAAGAAATATCACTACGACCACTATAATCACTTAAACAACGAGCTTCTCTAGCTTTGGTAATTTTATAATATGGGGAAGGAAATGACGAATTCCACAACATCGTGGATTGGTCTGAGCTCTGCAGTCTTAAATTTCTTTGGCTTGTAAAAATCTTGGAAATATCACAGTTTGTCGAGGAGATGCTGCGTCGAATACGACTCTCATGTAATAAACCACAAGTATAGGCTGATAAATTACAGTGGATCTCTTTCTTTCCAGGTATTTTTTTGTCCTCTGAAAGCTCTTTGACAAACTCCTGGTGCAATTTTTGGGAAGGTTTATGTGACGAAGAACTATTAAGATCTTCCACACTCTCGTTGTTCAAGTGGAAGGCTCTGATTTTATGTACTCGGTTTTTCACCGAATCTCTATCAAAATTAATGTGATGCTCTTGACCAACGAGTGACCTAGAATTATTTAGTGACAAGTCACCAGAAATAGATATATCTTTAGTGAGCAGGGGGGAAGGTTTTGTAAGAAAAGGTTGTTGAATACAATAAGAGCTACTAAACATACCAAGGCTGGACAAATCTTCACCAAACTTATGCTCTTGTGAAGAATAAATCTTATTCCTATAATGACAATCACTTAGTCCCGTATCTAAACTTTCACTTCTTCTGGGAAAATTAGCCAATAAATCTTGACGATGGCTTCTGTCTTTATCAATCGAATTGAGACGTGTCATGGTATTTTCATCTGGATAACTCAATGTTTCAAGTAGTTGGTGTTTATCAAAGCTATCCAATTTCTCCACACCCTGTTCACTGTTTAAGTTGAAAAACCGATTGTTATGTCTTGTTTCATCCATTTGTTCATGAGTACTTGTTAAAGTCACTTCCTTTAGCTCTTCATTGTTTTTTGTAATCCTTGGTGAACTTACAAGGGAAGAGATAAAACGTGGAAATGGATACATGCGATGAAGCTCTTCGTAGAATGTTTCTAGCTGTAATTGATTCATTGGATTAGCAGACGTCGTGACTTCCACTGGTTCACTTTTTACACTTAATGCATCTTCACTGATTAGATCTTCATCGCTAGGGGTGCGGTTCTGGTTAAAAGTATGTGATGTTAATGGTCGAGACAACCAACTAGACATTGTGGACCATTTTTCTTTTGTGCTTTTTAAAGGTTCTGAATCTAGACCAGTAATTTTCTTTCTTATTTGCTGTGATTGCTCTCGTAACTCAGTTAGTCGTTTTAATTTAAAAGCTAGGGCATTACTACGAACATAAAAACAGCCTTCTCCTTTATTCCTTTGTCGATGGCCATCACTGTAAAATGCTTGACCACAACCTGGCTCAAATAAGGGCAAATGTGAATTATCATAATCACTTTTATGTTCATCTGGAAGGCTTAGGCTTTCTAATTTTTCACTAATTTCTATAATTTCTTGCTCTTCATTTTGAAAGCGTAGATTTTCCTCACTGTAAACACGCAACGGATGAAACCTTCCACTGAACTGTAATTGGTCAACTTCAGGAAGTGGATTTTCAGAAAATAAAGAACTAGTGTCTTTGCAAGCACCAAATATATCTTCTTCTGATACCTGAACAGAAGAATCCTGCATCTCTGTTTCTTCTTCCAAGTCATTTGGATTAGTTGTTTCAAAATAATCACCCGAGACTGAGTGCAAAGACTGAAGGGCTTTGATCAATTCATTGCTTTCTGCACTTTCATCATTTTCATCGTCACTCAAACTAATATCCGAGAGTTCGGATTTATTAAATTCACTGATTCTGTCTTCACTGTCAGTAATGGCAGTGACACTACACTTCTCCTTATGTAAACATGCATTAGTAAGATCTTTGGAGTTTATTTGGTTATTGAAAATATTATTGTTTTGATGAGTTTGAAAATTATAAAGACCATCCATACCATCTTTTGCTTCACTTCTCATAAATAAATCGCTGTTTTCTTTATCCATAAGTACATTTCTTGAATAATTTTCACTTTTCAAGTATGTTTCATTATTAGATTTGCAGTCTAACTGTGCTTGATCTTTTGATATAGTTGGTTTTATCGAGTGAAACTGCTTCTTTGTATTTGTTGCAAGTGAGCGTTTGCTATTTGCACCAGACAACTGTGAATAAAGCAAAACTTTGTTCTCCGAAGTATTGGTCTCAGGAAAGTCAATCCATACCTCTGACTGTTCCTCTCCTGGATCAAGTTGTAGAGAAGAAGAATGTTCTCTAACCCAATGTCTTATCATGCTCCTCTTGATTTCATCACATGGCTCACACATTGCAGGCCCATCAACCCACTGCTCTTGCTGAAGGTGTTGAAGTGTTTTGGAATCAAATTTTAGCTTTGTGAATCTAGGTCCATCAATCCATAACTCATCACTTGGGATATTTTGCTCTCTTTTGCTAATCGGTATTTTTGTCATAGTTGAAGGGCAACTAGGACCAGGATGATTTTGTTTGATCAACTCGTGATGTTGTTTGATGCTAACTTTGTGTGGACTTTGATTACAGCTAACTTCAAAAGACTGTGTATTTGTTGAGTGGCTAAGGGACAAAGAACCTACAGAATCTTTGAGTTGATTTTGGTTCGGTACTTGTGGAATTAGAATAGCACTATTCGGACACTTTTTTTGATTTCGAACTCTAAGACCAGAAGAGGAAGAAGAGGGTAATTTGAAAAGAGATCCTTTTCGTCCTGAAACCCCTATTTCCTTAATATCAAATGTTAAAGGCTGTGGGTCTACTTCTTTTGTTGGTGTCTGGGATTTTGAGGGTTTAGTAAAATATTTCTGGACTCTCTGAGGCTTTTCTTTACTTAGTAAGCATTTCTCCCTTTTTGAGATGTCCGTATTTCCCACAAAGATGGCTGTTATACAAGATTGTTCACTGCCTGAAGTATAATCTGGGTCACTGACTTTGGAAGCTGTTTCATCTTCACTAACTGCGTCAGATTTGATGCAAGGTTGACACACGTCTTTACTCTCCAATTTCCCAGAGCTTTGATAAGAAAGTTGCTGGACAAGAATAAATTATAGAGATTTTATTGATAACGTTACCATCAAGCTAATAGTAGTCCTACTATTGACGTCAGTGTCAAATATACTGAGCTTCTAAAACAAAGTGAATGGGCTGTTAGTTTTAAAAGATACTGATATTTTTCCAAAATCTAACATACAATATTTAATACAGTAAATATTTTGTAATAGTAGTTCAGTGTCATGGGGGATGCTGCAAAACAGATTAACATAAACTATGAGACATAGAAAAGATAAAATATTAAAAAATTACCATATAAACTGATGCAGCATAAGGTTTACTTATACGTATATGATCGAGACCCTTTTGAAACTTTAGGAGTTCAAATTATGCTTATTATGTATAACTTTAAGATGGGATGGTCATGTAGTTATTTAAATAATTACACTTTTTTCACTTTTTTATTCCTAATTTATTCTCCTTGAAATGGGTTTTGTTTTGAAACTAGCTAGATCTCCATCGTTCTCTTCAGTGTCTTAAATTCACAAGTTTATATCTGTATAAGAAGTCCGTAACACAGGGTCGAGTTTTAACATGTTTAGTATACTGAATGTCTGTAGTGAAAACGATAAAGAATTACATTGCATACCGGTATTTTATATAGCGATAACTTTCCAAAAAGTGGTTGTAGATCGAATTACATTTCCTAAGGGAATTATACACTATTAACTTGAGAAGTCTAAATGTGACTGAAATTATGTAAAAATTCATACCCCCGTCTGATATTCAATAACTATTCCCTATGGTGAATTAATCAAGACTGTGATTCTGTACCTGTTGCGGACCTTTATAAAGCACGTGCAGCTTTGCAGTTTGGTAGAATATACAGATTCAGGTTTGCAAGGCTATTTTTTAATTTGGATATGCTGTCCCAATACTTTTGGTAATATAGTGTACTAAATTTGTCTTGGCAGAACATTTTTATAAGGGAAACGAAAATACTTAATGTTGACTAGTTTTTCGTAAGCAAGTTCTAAAATTGAAACATTTGTTCTTAATGTTTCGAAAACACTTTAGTCATAAATTTATTGTTTGAAAATATTTCCTTTAGCTTTCTTTTATTTAAAAATATTTGTCTGTTAATTAAAAATATTTGTATGATATGTAATTGTTATTAATTGACGTTATATATATATTTCAATCACAGAAAATCAGTTCATTGTAACTCACTTTCAACTTTTTTCGCCTAAGACGGTGTAATCTAGAAGCAAGTTGGACAATAAAAAGTGTTTCGGAAGAACGTTCTACAGATGATGAAACATGCACTACCATGGCTGCTCGGCAGTTCAGGGTTCCCAGGGCCATGGTGATAAATTTTGTGAGGTTTTCGTTTCTACAATACACAAACACAAGACATGAGATGTGAAAAAATAATCAGACTAATACTTCACGTAAACTTTGAAGGCTATCTGAAACACAAGCTTCATCAGGCGAAGAAGAACATTTGTTCTGGTTAAATTGAATTTCAATATATAACTTGAAGTATTAATCTGATTGTGTTTTTTAAACATGTGACATGGCTTTAAAATCATGTTATCGTACAAAACAAAAATATGTTTGAAATGTATATGATTTATTATTCCATTTGGAACATAGTTTTGTTTTCTTAATGAAAATATTGCAAGGATCTTGTGTTATGAAAGCAGACAAGAATATTTTAGGTAACAAATTCCATCTTTTGACCAGTTGAGGACTATAGTTTTGAGCAACTTCCATCAACTAAAGCACATAAATAATAGAGGTCGCATACGTATGACCCCAAAATGCAGGGTGGATTTTTGCTACAAAGGGTCATGAAATATAAACTGTTAAATTCACAATCCGACTATGCTAATCACTAGATCATGCATTTTCATATAAAAATCCTGAATGATGAATTTAGATGGATAACTGAATAACCCCAAATACTTTTGGAATGAAAGAGTATACAGCTGTGCTATACCTAAAACATATTAATACGGGGTAAGAAAAAATCATATTCTTGACTGTAACTTGATATAAACAAAATCGTAAATTTCATTCTACATTTAACAACTGTTAAGAATACCTTAACTAAACATTACTTGTAGTTGTTGTGACATGCCAAGTCTGAAATGTTTGAAGTTTGCTTGGAGAAACATAGCTTTCAAATACCGAAGTTGGTTATGTTCTTATTACTTGTTAATATTTAAAGTGGAAATATGTTTGGCAAAACCAATATTATTAACTTATTAGCTTCCAAAGAGCAGTAGTTATTGTCAAACAATTCGATGAAGAAGCAATTTTTCGATATCGCTGATTAATTTCTATTTTTACTTAAAACAGAAGTGTCATCTGTATGTCAAATTTTCATGACTACACACTCTGAAAGATCTCAACCAAACCTGACATGCACCATTATGGCTCCGCGTATCACTCCCCTTGTGGGTCCCCTTGTGCTTCTCACATTATTCTATTGATCTTTACTAAACTTTGAAGGCACCCTTAGAGCACCATGAAGAGCGACATAGGGTCTTTGTCATTTAGGTCACTCCTGGTGGCACTGTGTGTCTCTGTGTGTGTCTCCCTTTTATGCCTATAGTTTTTCATTTATTTCAACCAACTTTGACATTTACCATTACATCTCACCTTTATGTCTTTCCCACACTATGAATGAGAACATCAGCTACTATCATACAAAACACATTTTCCATTACAGTACTTCCAAAAGTTGAACTCTACATTGTACTAATATTTATATCGTCTGTTGCAGTGATGAAACCAACAAAGGAAATATGCTGTTTCTTATCCAGAAAGAAACTTTTCTTCAAATATTTTTCTATCTGAATTGTGGCACTGTTCTGCTATTTCTATGCAATTATGGAAATTCAGCTATTCAGCTTTCTGATGGAATGATTATTGGCATGGAAAGGAAAGTGAAAGTGTCTGGAACTAGCTATACAGCTAAGGTTGCTTTTGTTACATCATGTCTGAGAGCAAATGCACTACTGCCAGAACCTTCTAGATCATTGATTGATATTTTCGTATGCATTCTTCATTCAACACAGTGACATGAACTCAGTAATTGAGTGGTTGAACATGCCACTGTGTTTGAGGAAGCAAATGGTCATTTGGGACAGCCACTAGTAACTCATCATCATATAAATACAAGTGATGTGCATCTAATAAATAAAAAAAAACCTTCTGTGGAATCTTCCCTGTGCAGGGATATAGTAAGTGTCAAAATACAGCAAATGCTGAATGGTGGAAACATACACCTTTCAGAAAATGCTTGGTCATCTTCACTTGATTTTTCATAAAGATTCAGAAAGATACAAAGATTCTATTAATGTAGTGACCCATATTGATTCCTTTTGGTTAAACACCTTAGATCTTCAATATGGATCTGGTAGATTCATCTGGATTATGGTAACTTGCTCCAAACTGGTTTCAATACTTAAGATGGTTTGTATAAATTCCGATATTCGTGATTCTTCAGCAAATAAGAAAGGTAGTAAGGAAAGTGTACACTTTTACACAAACTGATGGAGTTCTTCACTCATATTGTGGGAAGGGATGGAGTCTCAATGGAACATGTGAAGATTGCAAATAAGAGTTTAACAGTTTTCTATATTTTGAACCATATTACTGGTGATTTATGCCCATATTTATCCAACATCACTGTACTATTGTTTACTTTGATTACAACTGAAAAACATTTAAGGTGAAACTAGGAATATGACTGTGAATTTCAGTCACGAAAATGTGCTTTATTAGAAGCTTCAATATTAACATATCCCAGAATAAATTGGCCATTTCTGCTGGATTTTAATGCTGGCAGTAGTGAAATTGGAGTGGTATTATTGCAGGTGCGGGATGGAGTGGATTGTTTAATTGCATATGCTAGTCATACAACGAGAACTCATGAATGCAAATAATGCACAACAAAGAAAGAGGTTAGTGTGGTTGTATTTGTCAAACACTACCCACAATAGTTATATTGTAGGCAAATACAAAAGAGAAGATAGCACGTTAGATCACAATGATGAAATTATATGACTTTGTTGCCCAGGCATACAATATGGAGATGCTAAAATATTTTCCTATTAAGTGGTGAGACATTATCTATTTTTTATTGTCCTGACCTAGGGCAGCATGTGGGAGTGAAACTTATTGTATCATCAAAGATGTCAAACAATACATTATGTGGTTATTCCATTGACGGATAAAAACCACAAACAATGCTTCAGAAGCTCCATGAATAGCAGCTAATGGACCCAGCTTTTGTTTAGGGTGATACGTGCAGTACAGCAAGGTGAAGCATAACCACCATAGATAGAGAAATGTAGACCAGATGCACTTAACCTGTGGCGCTAATATGATTAGGTACGCATGCAGGAAGGTGTGCTGTACTGCTGTTGTAAAACTACTGAGATATGGTTCATATTTGGCGTTGCAGCTAGGTTCCCAGGGCCTTTAGATAGGAGATACTTGAGACTTGCACATCTGCTAACATGTGAAAACAATATTTATTGCTACATCTGTGTTTAAACATTGAGCAAAGTTGCAAACACAATACTGCGCATGCTACCCAGGGTAAAGACAGCAAAAACATTGTAAACTGTGGCAAAAAGTCGTGTAGTTTCCATTGCAGTGAATAGTTTCATATACAGTTAGCCCGATTTCAAAGACTAATTGAAGAATTGCTATTTTCTGGTTGTTACTGATTACTTTGCTAAGTGGGCTAAGGGTCTTCCATTGTTCAATATGTTGGCACAGTCTATTATTGATGTGCTGGCTGAACGATGGATAATATGATTCAGATCACCTGAAGACATTCACACACACTATGGGACTAATTACCCCAGCCAAATATTTTCTGAGTTGTATAAAGTATTGAGTGTTGTGAAGATTTGCACTTCACTGTATCAAACTTTCCCTCAGTCTGATATCAGGTTTTGTAAAATGGGTAATACAGACCATCAAGCAGGTACTTAGAAAGTTTCTTAATCCTACGCAAACCAACTGAGATGAACACTTTCTATATGTCATGATGACAGCAAAGCATAAATTGGTTGTTTACTCAGTATGCTATCTTAGGGTAGAAGAGATGCTATTATAAAGTAGTGAAGGAATAAAAGTTAAAACACGGAGAATAGGTATTGTTTGGTACTTGGTTGCAGTACAAACGTAACTTTGATATGTCTGGACTGATACTATCCTATTCTCTGGGAACTCAGTCGATCAAACTACAAGATGCAACATTCACATGCCATGCATAAATATATCAAATACATTGACATGCTAGAACATAAGATTACTGATAAACCTCTTGTGCACTGGTTGGCTCAGGAATCAGCAGTTGAGACACGTGTATCAGAGAATAATATGAGTACTGTATATATTTCATATTGAGAAAGAAGATGCTGGAAATACTTACCTGGCTGCCTCCAAGAAGAAAATTCTAGTGGAGGAGTTGTGTGACATCACTGATGACTACTCAAGTTATCAGTGCTGACCTCTTGAGAGCTGTGATTGGAATTAATTTCCAGACCGGCAGTTAGGACAGCAAGTTAATCAGTAGATTGTCCACTGAAAGGGAGCTTCAACATATTTTTCAAAGCTATTGAGCAGTGTTTTATGGAGAGATCCCTCTAGCACATTGGATAATAGTTGTTCAAATATTATACAGTTAGGACAGCTAATGTTAACAGATAGAATACCTGGAACTTTAACAGTTTATACAACTAGAGATGATAGCTAGGAATTTGAGAACATTTATGAGTCCAAAGGGTGTTATGACTCTTATTTTCTGAGTTATTAAGTGGTGTTTCACAGTAAGATGCATATCCACCTAGAACATCGGATTGTACTAGCACTGAAAATGACAGCTAAGATTTCTAATGTATCCGAAGGCTGAAAGACTTTATAATTCATGAATTCTGAACATTAAGGTAGAATCTCGTGATGAACACCTGTAAGATGTTTATACAAAAACAACCTGAGATTATTAATGCGTATATAAATGTGAAACGTAAGTAGGAGTTACACACAAGTATACACGACCTGCACATGATTTTCATAGTGAGGGAGGTAAGCTATAATCAGGATAAAATATAAATTAGCCTATTTGAAAAGTACTTGCTACGCTAGGCTTTGCCTGCGTTTATTTTTCTTTGATATGGACCGTAGTGAGTAGATCAACTCATAGATGGTGCTGCAGTATCGTGGTGGATGGCGATTGGTGTACATGGCAAATTAGAACTAACAGTAACTACTATTCATGAAGGCGTGAAGTTATATATTAAAGCGAAATCATCAGAAGGTAGTTTATGCATCATGTCAAACATCAATT